TCCTAAAAAATGATTCTGAACACCCATGACAACTGGAATGTGTCTGCCCTTAATGCTCTCTGCAATGAGTCGCGTCAGCTTGTCCTTGCCTCGAGGATTAAGATGCAAACCATGGACAGTATGTTTGCTCCTCAATATTGAAGAGGACGCAGGTTCTGCCGCCACCGTGAGGTCTGTAGCCCAGGCTTTTTCCGCATTCATGAGAAATGCCTTGTATTTCAAAGTTGAATTTTCGTTTAGCTCTTTGAAAACCCTAAATGAATTGAAAAGGGCACAATTTATAAGCCACAAGGCAACTTTCTTCGTCCATGTTACTGTTTTCCTAGGAAGGGAATAACAGGCCAAGTATTGGTCGGCTCTATCAACTCCCTTCATGAAAATATTGTACTGAGAAATACAAAGAGACTTCTTCTTCACTTGCCCGTGTCATCTTTGAATATCGACCATGCTCGAATTGTGAATAGTGGAAATCATATTCACAATGCAAGTATCCTTCCAGGACTGAAGAAGAATGTCCCCCTTCCTCCTGAATGTGGTGTCACCTCATTTCAGGGATTTACATTCTTCTTTCAGATCTGGAGGAAGGCCTCTGTTCACCCTAATTGTACCACAAATACGTACTTTCCTTGAAAGTAGGTATTCTGCAGTTGCCACACACTTATAAAAATTATCTTGATAAACGTGATAATTTTGATCCAGATAGGGATCCAAAATGGAAACAATAGTTTCTTGCAATTTCTTGCCTTCACCGGAATAAATTTCTAAATTTCCAATATAGCCTGAAGTGCTTTCCGTGACTACATGAGCAAGTACGCCATACTTTGTGAGTTTCCAAGGATTATACGTTCGAAAACGAAGCCTTCCCCTCCAAGGAATTACAGATTCATCCAAAGACAGTTGCTGCTCTGGCTTATAAACTGAAATTTATCAACGAAAAAGTATAATAAGGGCTGAATTTCTAAAAGCCTGCCCATTGATTGTGGTTGCAGTTCATTATTATTGAAATGCAAACACCACCATATCTGTTCAAATCTCTTACGACTTATGAGTTTGCCGAAAATGGGAATTTCTAAAAATGGATCAGTGGACCAATAGTCTTTCAAATTATCCCTCTTTGTAAACCCCATCAGAATGATTATTGCCAAAAATGTTTTCATTTCTGCTGAAGTGACATCCACCCACTTCAGCACCTTATAGGTACTGTCGTATGCCTCACGGTGTTGGAGATAGTATCTGTTGGTGTCCTGACACAACATGTCAAAGAAACTATCTCCAAAAAACAGTTCAGCTACTTCAGACACTTGCGTAGGGTCCGATGGCATTTGTCTCACCCCTGGATCACCAGTAAACTTTCCCAAAGTGGGTGTTTTGTCCACTTTACCCCATGTGGCTGTCCCCGCGATGCTAGCACTCGCACTTTCATCGGAGCTCTCACTGTCACTTTCACTTTCTCTTTTGGTCACAATATTTTGGGGGCCACTGCCACTGACACTGCCCTCGCTATCAGAAGATGAAGCAGTTGGCAAGTTAGATAACTCATTGGAGATCAAATCACAGATTTTTTCTTCTCCGAGAGCTCACAGGGCCTTCAACTGCTTTCATCTCTGAGCCATGTTGACCCTGAGAATATCTTGCCTCACACATAGAAGCTTCGACTTGAACAAAGGGACTTTTCTTAAGAGTGAGAGGGGAATAGAGAGTGGTCACGTTGCTAACTCGGAAAACAAACATTCCGAAGGTCAGCTACACAGTACTTTTACAGACATGTGGCCACCAAAGCGAGGAATAGTGTGTTGCAACATAACGTGCCCTAAAAGACTAAATCTAGGTGACAGGTCTGCCACGTTTAGAACCCAAATGCCTAGGCCTAGGCGTCCGGTCCGTGAAGTGTTAAGGTATGTTCTGAGGATAAGGCTTTATGTTTCCTAAAGAAATTTGTACTGACATCCAACAGAAACACTTGTTGTATTTTACAGACACAAGAATATTATCTGGAAATTGTGCACATATGGCATTTGGAAAATTTGTTTGCTGACATAATGGGTAGAAGTCCAATTGGTCTGAATCAAGAACAGCTACACCAGATGAAGAAGCCCAGATATTGTAGTTTCCTCTATAAATTTACACTTAGGTACACAAGTCGAAGGAGACTTAAAGAGAATTAGAAAGCTTTTGAGCACAAGATGATGAGGATCAAAGGGATAAAGCTGAAATTGACAGCGCAGCTGAACATGAAGGAAAAATATTTCCTCAAGAGGGACATCCTGTAAAGACAATAAGTCCCATCCTTATTGGATATCTTATCTCTTCATCGGATTAGAAAATAAGGTTATAATTTTCGTGCATACACTGTCAGGGCATCAAGGGACTGACGGATATGTAGTACAGATAGAACATTCTTTCTATGTCAGAAATCTTCATAGAAAGGCGAGAAAGTTTGTCTCACATTGTGACATGTGCCAGTGTCTGAAGCACCCTAATTGCAGTTATGAAATAGAAGCCAGAGCCCACTTGCCTCCACAACTGGTGAACTGCTANGGTGTTGTCGCTTGCAGATTTCTTATACTTTTTCTTCTACCCTGAAGATGGGGGCGATACGTTCCTCCGAAACGTCGGTTAACACCACATATACACGGTGCCAAATCCCAGAAGACTGCTTTCTTCATAGTCACCGCCGTGAAAGCCTCAAATCTTACATGCTATATATAGATTTGTATGGTCCTTTGCCTATGGGATGTTCAAGTGTGAAGGACATTTTTGTGTGCCTTAGCATATTTACAAAACATGTGAAGCTTTATCTACTTTGTGCCACCACCACTAAATCTTGTCTTAACAGGCTTGTAACCATTTCTTCCACCATGTATTTCATCCCAAGATGAATTACCACAGTAGTCAGTTTTCAAGCCCTTTATGGAATAAAACACTTTCAAATCTAGATGTTTCAGTGAAATTTTCGCTGACACATCATCCTGAAGGCAATGTGAGTGAAAGACAGATGCAGGAAATTTCCAAATTTTGCAGGATTTACTGTAACATCACTCAGAAGAAATGGCCTGAGTTGATTACACAAATCATAGGATGGTTGAACACCTCAGTGAGTGGATCAACTGGTTACACGCTGTTGAACTTATGTTTGGCAAGCCTAAACATGATGCATTTGAAAAGTTATTATGGAAAATTCCTGATCAAAAGCTAGAAGAAGGAATCCTGGAAATTAAACTCCTCTGTGCTTCCACTGAAATGAAACTGAAAGCAGTGGATATACCAAATGGGAACCACAATTAAATGAACATGTTTCAATGAGAATTCAACCAGGGTCTGATGTGATACATGATATTACCAGTAAATTTATCTGACCTCATGATGGTCCATTTGTAATAACTGAAGTCCTTTCTTTGTTGATACTCAAAATTGAAACACATGTAGTAAACTCTAACCTGTCGGTAGTGATTCTCACTGTGATTTCTACATCAGTGTCATTCTTTCCTGTCATCTCTCAAGGTGCCTATACAGTTTGTTTAATAGCCATTGGGAATCATTCATTAGGAATTACAGTTGTAGCATGTATTAAATTATAAGTGATAAAACTGTGGTGTGGGAGGAGGAGGGGGGTGGGGTTCCAGTGACAGAACCCCATTGTGGAATGTATGCCTTATGTCAGCAGCTGTGTTGATGGACATACAGGTCAGTTAGAGAGCAGTGAGGTGCCTTGGTAAGGTCCAGTAGACAAATATGAATAAAACAGTGGGTCGTTTTTACTGAATCTGCTGTTATTTACTCTAAACATCAAAATATGATTTATGGTATATTATTTTTATTACAAAAAATATAATACGTGTTAAAATATTTATGTAAACACAATTTTAAAATTATAAAATTTGTAATTTAACTTTTCATTAATTATGTATATAATCCCAGTGAAATCAATTATCAATCTTCTTAACCCTGTAATCAAAAAATTCATCAATACCATAAAATGAATGTAAATGGAGAAATTGTAATAGTGCTTTCTTGAATCGATTTTTGTTTCTGGATAACTGTTTTATTTTGCGTGGACAGAAGCCTTATAAATGAAAAATGCAATTTAAAGTAGCACTAAAATGATAATTAAGTATGCACTCATTCTACTCTATTGATGAATTCCTGTTATCCAAAAATGATTCATAATCTACTTAGTGGTTTGTATAAATAGCGTAAGTGGAAGGTCTTGATGTATTCCTCATATGAACCCTCCGTGTATTTTATATTTTTATTCTTTATGGGAAAGCTTCAGTTTTACTGTACATGTATGTTTTTTTTTTTCATGACATATTCCACATTCTACAGTCAGTTTTGACCAACTTTAGGTACATGGAATGTATCAGAAGGGACCTGCAGTTAGTCACGATAAAAGCATATAATAGATTCATGTATAACATTGTTTTTGATGTTGGTATTCTGTGTATATGAAAACTTGAATATCCTGACTAAGGAGTTCCTTGATTTTCTTAATCCTTTCACAATAGTGCTGGCTATCCATGTTTCCCTTCCTTTTTCTTTGAAATTCACTTTCCAAATTCACCCTGCCATTTCATTTACACAAGACAATCGCTATAAGCGATAAAGTTTAAGTTCCACATGACTTAGGGGTTATGTTCTACTAGTCCAAACCCAAATTAAATTTATCACTTCCTAAATGCTGCGATGTGAAGCTGTGTGGTCTGGTAGATGCTTACCAGGATTTCAGAGGAACACCAGTGAAACATAACATGGTGTTACATCCCAGAAAACATTAATTTATCTTCATGGTCACATCCATGAGAATTCAAATCTCACAAAATTAAATTATCTGACAGCTTTCAATGGATCTGGACTCGACATTATATATTCATGTGATGCACTTTGTATAGGGAACATGATGTAGTGTTAAGAAGACTGCTTTCTTTGTGGTCACTGCCATGAAAACCTCAAATCTTACGTGAGGTATTGTTAACTCTTATACATACTTATGTGTATTGCAGGCACTCATGTTTCCTCCATCAGTTTACAACTATGTGACAGAGATGCTGCATAAGGATATGATTCTGGTTTTGAATAAAATTGACTTAACACCAGCTCCACTGGTTATCGCGTGGAAGCACTACTTCCAACAGAAGTACCCTGCTATTCATATTCTCACCTTCACTTCATTCCTGCTTACAACCTGAGAGGCAATCAAGAGAACAAGGCTGGTAAGCAACTCTCAATTAGTGCATGTTGGTAAAGTAACTCAAAATTGAGAGACAGGAAAGTAATTTGATAAATACATTCAGATTATATATATATATACCTTGGCTTTTTATTTTTTACAAGTTATCAATCTTACATATGTTATTTTCTTCTGTCCTTTGCCCATGAACAAGATACATGAAAGAAAATTAATTTATTTTAGATCTTAGGTTATTATGAAATATGATTTCCATTTGCACAAGTGTCTCTCAC